CGAGCTCCCAGCTGGCAGAGTGACGGACACCGGGGTAAATATCTCCCCATCTTCCCGCCACACGCCGCCGCCGCCGCCCATCAGCCGGCCTCGCTCACACACTGTGACTACACGGGCGGCGCGGCGGGCGGCCCGCTGGGACGGAGAGGCACCTAGAAGGGCAAGGGATAGGGAACATGTATTTACTATTTGTGTTTGCAGAATCGAGCTATTAGCTCTTGGATCCCCGCCTTTCTAACTTCCAGGTACTTATTTACTGCTAGGTGAACAGAGGCATCAGGTGGAAAAACCACTGCCCACTTTCTCGGCTGGGAATGTAATCAGGATCCGTGGACTGCGAATTGTGAACGTTGTCGGCTCGTCCACGAGGACCTGTGTGCGCGCCGCAGTAATAAGAAAATGCCTCAGGAGCGTGTCGAGCCTTCAGTCTAAATTAAAATTCCTTTGTGAGGATGAGCTGGGGATATTGAGGGCCCCGCGCCTCACCTGGCGTTCCTCCACGCCCTCCGTGGCCTCCACGCCCTCCGTGGCCTGCCTCCACGCCCACGTTTAATACGAGTTAAATGACTGCAGCACATCAAACTATGTCATGGCCAGTGGCATAGTTTGAGGTGATACCGTCACTACCTTGTCAGGTGCAGGTCAACCACAGCCAGGAGGCACCGCTGTGGTACAACCACCGCCGCCGCTCTTGGCACCAACCTCTCCACCAACATTATATCTTGTGTTAAGTGCCCATCACACTTGATGGGGCTCAGCCACGTATTGGTGGAGGGTGGAGGGTGGTTGGTGATGGAGGGGAAGGGGGGGGCCACAATGAAGGGGGGGAGGATGGGAGGGGGGGCCACTATGAAGGGGGAGGGATGGGGATGGCCACCAGGGAATATTGAGAGCAACGGCTGCATTTCAATATTATGCATGACGGCTGCGTCATGATCTGGCAGGTATGCCTGACGCCCCCCTGCTCCCCCCCCCCCCCTGCACCAGCACCCCTACAACCATGTACACATGCGTGTACACACATGTCTATGAGGTGAGTACATGTGTACATACAAGTTGTTACTTTAACTCAGTAATCAGAATAATAATATTACACATCTTGTTGCTAACACTTCAAGAAATAGACCCCAGTATTATTTCTGCTTTAATCTGTACATTCATTTTATTTTTTTGGTTAAAGATCCCCCAAAGCGCCAACCCCCCCCCCCCACCCCCCTCGTCCCACCACCGCAGTAAGGGGGGTTCATAATGGGTGCCAGATGCATATAAGCTAGTCTGAAAATATTCAAAATTACGAAAATACATCCATTATACAAAATGATCAATCGAAACCCGACTTTAACATGTGATATATTTAACATCTAGAGCTTCCAGCCGCTGCCATCATAAGACGCTGAAAATTCTCACCAAATATGGAGTCTTTACATTTATTTTCTTGTACCGGAACCCAAAGTATTAAACAAACTCCCACACCAAAAGTTTAGACCAGGTTTCAGAAGTAAATTTATTTTAGGCTTGTATATAAATACCCGCGAGGCCTCGCCTCTACTCTCACCCCTGGAGATGTTGACTTGTCTTCTCCACCTGGGAGGACTCGCCAGTGTTGGAGGAGTGTTGGAGGAGTGTTGGAGGGAGTGGTGTAAGTGTTGGAGGGAGTGGTGTAAGTGTTGGAGGGACTGGTGTAAGTGTTGGAGGGAGTGGTGTAAGTGTTGGAGGGACTGGTGTAAGTGTTGGAGGGAGTGGTGTAAGTGTTGGAGGGACTGGTGTAAGTGTTGGAGGGACTGGTGTAAGTGTTGGAGGGACTGGTGTAAGTGTTGGAGGGACTGGTGTAAGTGTTGGAGGGACTGGTGTAAGTGTTGGAGGGACTGGTGTAAGTGTTGGAGGGACTGGTGTAAGTGTTGGAGGGACTGGTGTAAGTGTTGGAGGGACTGGTGTAAGTGTTGGAGGGACTGGTGTATGTGTTGGAGAGAGTGGTGTTTCCTTTCACCTAATGGCTCTGTTCACCTAGCCGTGAGTACGTACCCGGGAGTTAAGTCAGCTGGTTGTGGAGTTGCATCCTGGGCGGGGCCAGTAATTCGGGGCTTGGGGGGTGGGTCCTCGATATAAGCCTAACGTGTATGAATACACCCTGGCTTCCTGTCCCCCGACATAATGAATTGTTATTATTGATGGTAGGTCAGAGGAGCCAGGCTGACTATGGAGCTGTATAGAACAGTCGACAGCCTCCACTGTGGCAGGAGACGAGGTGGTCGACGGACACCATGTTTAACTAAAGATTGGTCTTGGGTACAGGTGCACCTGGAGAGGTGTGGTGGGACTGGACAGGTGAGCAAAAGAGCTGCAAGAGTCTTGACACGTGAGGACAACATAGTCCTCTTCACTACCACATACTCCGCGCCTCACAAGTATCCAAACAAGTACAAGGGGCACCGTAAACCCTGTGCTGATCCAGTCTAAATAAATGCCAGTGTGTTATAATACTGTAGGTTACAACTAAACAAGTATCTTAAGGTTGTGATGGTCAATGTTAAATCTCCTAGTTTGGTGGCGTGTTCCCGCGAGGGCGCGGGGGTGAAGTGTGGGCGCGGGGGTGAAGTGTGGGCGTGGGGGTGAAGTGTGGGCGTGGGGGTGAAGTGTGGGCGCGGGGGTGAAGTGTGGGCGCGGGGGTGAAGTGTGGGCGCGGGGGTGAAGTGTGGGCGCGGGGGTGAAGTGTGAGTGTGGGCGCGGGGGTGAAGTGTGGGCGTGGGGGTGAAGTGTGGGCGCGGGGGTGAAGTGTGGGCGTGGGGGTGAAGTGTGGGCGTGTGGGCGCGGGGGTGAAGTGTGGGCGCGGGGGTGAAGTGTGGGCGCGGGGGTGAAGTGTGGGCGCGGGGGTGAAGTGTGGGGGGGTGAAGTGTGGGCGCGGGGGTGAAGTGTGGGCGTGGGGGTGAAGTGTGGGCGCGGGGGTGAAGTGTGGGCGGGGGTGAAGTGTGGGGGTGAAGTGTGGGCGTGGGGGTGAAGTGTGGGCGCGGGGGTGAAGTGTGGGCGTGGGGGTGAAGTGTGGGCGTGGGGGTGAAGTGTGGGCGTGGGGGTGAAGTGTGGGCGTGGGGGTGAAGTGTGGGCGCGGGGGTGAAGTGTGGGCGTGGCGCGGGGGTGAAGTGTGGGCGTGGGGGTGAAGTGTGGGCGTGTGGCGTGGGCGGGGGGTGAAGTGTGGGCGTGGACAACCAGCGCGCGTCTGAGGGCGTCGTTCACCCTCCTGTGGCAGTGTTCCCTCACACAATGGGCGTCTCACAGGTGGAAACAAATAAAACGAGAGAAGATTCATATCTGACCAAGAGAAGGAAGTGGAGACGAGCTGCGGACCCTCCCGCGGGAGTCATACCTGACCCTTCCCCGCTCCCCAGCCTCCTCTCCGTCAGCACTAAGTGGGCCATAACCCAAGGGGCGCCTCGCCTGATGACACCAGCACCAAATATATACCTCCGTTTCTCGCTCAGCAACACGACAATTAGACCAGCCTCAACACAATACTCGTGTACACCAGAGGATGGAGAGGTGAGGGCGGAGGCGAGGTGAGGGCGGAGGCGAGGTGAGGGCGGAGGTGAGGGCGGAGGCGAGGTGTGGGCAGTGTAGCGAACTTACTGGAGCAAGGTTGACCTAGTGTGAGGACCCATGGGAGGGCGCCCCCCGGCCAGGCTCCCAGGGTCAGGTGGTAGTGGTGCCTTACACTCCTCCATCAATCCTAACATATACAAACATATTCTGGCTGGATTGAGTAAGTCCAGCCAGAATACGTTTGTATATGTTAGGAATGCCTCTTGCATGAAAGCATGAGCAGCATGTAAAGGATTTGGGAATAATGATTTCTGTCGACCAAACGTTCAGGCAGCATAACCAAGCAAATATTGAGTCAGCCAGAGAAATGATAGGATGGATTACGAGAACTTTCAAACCCAGGGATCCCATCACAATGGTTGTACAATTCAAATCACTTGTGCTGTCCCATCTTGAGTACTGCTCAGTACTCGCTTCCCCCTTCAGAGCAGGAGAGATTGCTGAAATAGAGGGAATACAGAGAACATATACGGCATACATAGATGCGATAAAGCACCTAAATTATTGGGATCGTCTCAAAGCTCTCCAAATGTACTCACTAGAAAGGAGACGAGAGAGATATCAAATAATATACACATGGAAAATACTGGAGGGCCAGGTCCCTAATCTGCACAGTAAAATAACAACTCACTGGAGTGAACGATATGGAAGAAAATGCAGAATAGAACCAGTGAGGAGCAGAGGTGCCATAGGCACAATCAGAGAACACTGTATGAACATCAGAGGTCCGCGGTTGTTCAACATCCTCCCAGCGAGCATAAGAAACATTGCCGGAACAACCGTGGACATCTTCAAGAGAAAACTAGATTGTTTTCTTCAAGGAGTGCCGGACCAACCGGGCTGTGGTAGGTATGTGGGCCTGCGGGCCGCTCCAAGCAACAGCCTAGTGGACCAAACTCTCACAAGTCAAGCCTGGCCTCGGGCCGGGCTTGGGGAGTAGAACAACTCCCAGAACCCCATCAACCAGGTATCAACCAGGTAAGTGAATGGGCCTAACAAATAACATTTATCGATTTTAATAATTTACAATTTGAGTGGTATATGAACAAAATATTACTTGAATGGGGAGACGCTTAATATACGTCTCTCACTGAATACAGCCTAGTGGGGGGGAATGGAAGGGGGGTGGTGAGGTACGAGGGTGGTGTGATAGGGGGGTGAGGCAGGGGTAGTGAGGTAGGGTGTGGGGGGGGTAGTGAGGTAGGGTGAGGGGGGGGGTGGTGAGGCAGGGTGTGGGGGGGGGGTGGTGAGGCAGGGTGTGGGGGGGGGTGGTGAGGCAGGGTGTGGGGGGATGGTGAGGTAGGGTGTGGGGGGGATGGTGAGGCAGGGGTAGTGAGGCAGGGGTAGTGAGGCAGGGTGTGGGGTGATGGTGAGGTAAGAGGTAGTGAGGTAGATGCTGGGTGACTCACGGGGATCTTGAGAGGGCAGGGCAGTGTGTGGCGGCCCAAGACGTGGACGGAGAGCTCCTCCTCCTCAGACACCAGGATCAGGAACACCAGCCGCGCCCCGCACGCCCACGACACCTGCCAACACCATACATCATCAATATATTTAATAACAACAGTCTCTGTAAACACAGGAAATATTTGCATTAACAACACACTATTGAACAAATTCTAAAATCCAGGACATTTCATCACAAGGCAAATTAAGGACACAAAAAGATAGAAATTTGACTAAAAAATATTTAAATTTCTAAAGTTGATGAAATGTTAACTAGCATTTTACCAAATCCAGAACTGTGCATGTTGTTGATAATTTACTTTAATGTCGAGAGTGTGTGAGAGAGCGAGAGGAGCCCCACCCTCTGGCTGGGTCCCCCCATAAACGGAGTCGGTCAACACAGAAAACTGGTGTTCCAGGGGTCGGTTAGACCCAGAGACTTACAGTAACGGTCCGCCAGTGGCGCGAATTAAATTGCTTTTAAATTTAGGAGACTTCCGACAACAGTGCCATTACTGGGGAGACCCGTGGCACTTCCAGCGTGAAGTTACCATTACTATACTTATTGCTGACGAAGTTTACCTAATTTGTATATAAACGAACAATTGCTGCTCTTGTAATCTGGTTCAGTGCCACTGGCCGTTTGTTCAGGCACAATTGCCAAGTCCATTCTCTTCCGTTACTTTATAATTTCCTCGTGTACCTGCCCGATGCCTGTAGTTGTGCCAGGTTTCAACTGGTGAACTTGTGCGCCACTGTCTTCCATGGAGGAGCCTCTGGCGAGGTATCCAGCACTCTCATCACACCAGGATAACATACTCGTCTCATCAACACTTTCATCTATTTCATTCATCTCATATTCAAAGTGTTCACCCACCTACTTCTTGCCTCAGTGCAAGGGCAGCCATACAACTATCACCAAGGGACTACAGAGGTCCCCCAGTGTTAAGGAGCTGCCAAGATGGCGGCGCACTTTGGACTGCCAGGCCGCCAGCTGGGAGACCCGACCAGACACGGCCGCCAGCTGGGAGACCCGGCCAGACACGGCCGCCAGCTGGGAGACCCGGCCAGACACGGGCCCGAGGGCACGGAATCACCGGAACCATTCTCAAAGGGACGTCAAGCAGTGTGCCTCTCCCCGGGCTCCTGCTCTCCCCTTCTCCAGAGGCGGAAATTGCCGATAAATAAAGAAGGGCAGAACGGGATATTACCTGCCTTATAAAAGTGGGCGGGTTTTAAGTCACAGCGACAGGACGAGTTATTGCGTCGGGGTGGTGGCAGAGGACGGGAGGAGGCGAGTGTAGGACGGGGGACCACACAGTAGTTGATGGACCAGTGGGATAGGCGGCCCCGTCCTGTTCCATCCTGACCTCCTCTACCTGTACACTCTCCAGAGACTTCCCAGATGATAACATTGGTATTAGCTCAAGAGGTACTGACTGTCCTGCCTATTCTTCTAAAATTACCCCCTCTCTCTCTCTTTCTCTCTCTCACTCTACACTGCCTGCCTCACCATACTCCCTCCCCATCCCCCAGGTGTCACTGCTCCTCAAACAGGCTCCACCTTTCCTAATCAAGCCTTCCCCTCGACACACGAACCCTCTCACCAGATACACCAATATAGTGGTGGCGCCCAGCAGCGGAGTGACGTGTGGGGTGGTGCTGGGGGCGGCGTGGTGTAGGGTGGTGCTGGGGGCGGCGTGGTGTGGGGTGGTGCTGGGGGCGGCGTGGTGTAGGGTGGTGCTGGGGGCGGCGTGGTGTGGGGTGGTGCTGGGGGCGGCGTGGTGTGGGGTGGTGCTGGGGGCGGCGTGGTGTGGGGTGGTGCTGGGGGCGGCGTGGTGTGGGGTGGTGCTGGGGGCGGCGTGGTGTGGGGTGGTGCTGGGGGGGGGCGGCGTGGTGGTGTGGGGGGCGGGTGGTGGGGGTGGTGTGGTGTAGGATGGGTGGTGTAGGGTGGGGTGGTGAAGGGTGGGGTGGTGTGAGGTATGGAGGCGCGGGTCAGAGTTTACTTATAGTAACACCTTAACCAGAGCGAGGAGTGACCCAACACATTACAAGTAACAATAAGAGATAACAGCAACATTCTCACAGTAATAACACCCACACGCATCACAACCAAAAAAAATGTCAATAATTAAATATAAATTGTTTATTTAAATAGTAAAAACACACTGGGAAACATTATAACAAACATTATACTACATAAAGTATAAAAGGTATGAATAACACACAGGACAAACACTAATTATATTCGCTAGTTATATTCTAGTTAT